ATTTCCTTGCCACTAGCTAATGTTGTAATTTAAAGTGTTATGCAAATGGCAGGCAATAATGACAACACTTCAGTGATCCACAGAGTTGGCAGAAGGGAAGGGGTTAGAGACCAATTAGTTCATATAGGGGCATAGATAAGCAAAAAAACCACAAAACATGAGGCACAGGCACAGATGTCTCCGGACCAAAACAGGAAGGATGTTCCTTGAACCCTTGCCCCCAGAGATCACAACTGAGGACAAAGCCCCAGTTGCATAATATAACATCAGCTTTTCTGTTTGGCATGTCACATTGATGAGCCATATTAAACTTATGGTCCACTAAAACTCCCAGGTCCTTTTTTCATAGGAACTATTGTCCAGCCATGATGCCCCCACCCAGTATTTATAAAGTTGTTTGGCTCAATATTCTAACCTGTCGAGATTTTTTTTAGTTCCTGACCTTGTCATCCAACATTTTCTACTCCTTGTCCAAGTTCCATGTCATCTTCAAATAATCTATCCTTTCTTCCAAGTCTTTAATTAAAATGTTGAATTGCATATGGCCAAGGGCAGAAGAGCCTAGACAAGTGACAAGGAAAGAGCTGTAAACTTCAGCTGAAGCTAGAATCAATCTTGTTGGACTTCCTTGCTTGAGATAGACAATTTTCTACTGGCAGGTTCAGTACAATTCCTAGTTCTCTTTTTGTGGCTAGGTGTCAATTTTCCTGACCTCTCCTCCGTGGGTTTTCATAACACTGCTCTCTTTTCAATTCTCCTGTGTGTTTTTGTGTTGGTAACCTTAGCATCTAGCATATTGCCTTACACACAGTAGGCACTTAACAAGTACTTGTTGAATTAAACAGATTTAAAGCACAATACACATGCTAGCTATCTTCACCATCTTCATCCTCCATCATTAATATGAAGAAATAGAAACCCAAAGAGAGGAAATGATTTGCCCAGTCATCTAGGTAGCAACGATGAGAACCTGAACTCAAAGACAGGTCTTTTGATTCTAAGCCCAGGGCTTTTTCTAGCTGGTTCTATGCTGACTCCCATTCTGACCTGTGCCTGATTTCTGAATTCAGCTCCCACTTAACTTGGTCAGATTGTGGGATTATGGAATTTTCCAACTACCTCATTTTACAGATGATGAAAACTAAGGATAATAGTATCATAGATTTAGAGCTAGAAAGAACCTTAGTCATTTGATCCAACCCCTTCATTTTATGGATAAGAAGCTGAGACCCAGAGAGGTTAAGTAGTCTGCCTACAATCACACAGCTAGGAAGAAACAACTGGGATTTAAAATCAAGTTTTTAGACTCCAAAACTAACTATCTTTCACAGAATCACAATTTGAAAGTTAGAAAGGACCTCAGCAGTCATCCAATCCAAACGCAAACACAAAAGAACCTCTATTATAACATACTGAACAAATGGTCATCCAGTCTTGCTCCAAGGAGGGCAAATTAAAAAAATCTCCAGGCAAAGCCATTTCACCTTTGGACAGCTCTGTTAGGGAGTAATTTCTGACATCAAGCCTAAATCAGCCACTTCGTGACTTCCACCCATTCCTCCTGGTTCTGTCCCCTCCACATGACAATCCAAATACTTAAAGACAGCTATCGTGTCTCTCCTGCACTGCCTTTCCTTCCTCCCAGAGACCTCACTTTCCTCAGTTAAAAAAGCTCAGTTCCTTCAACTGATGCTCATGTCATGGGCTCAGAATCCTTTCTAGGGAGGCGCTGAAGCCAGCTCATACAGGCTCGTGGGAACCAACTGTTAAGTTTTCAGTGTGAGCATTTACACCCCACAAGTCAGCAAACATCAGGGATTGATTCATCATTTTGTTGGTTGTCTGGATGTAAGAAAGTGATGGAGAAAATGTTAATGCAGATTAAAAAGTGTCCTACACATATGATACGTGTGTGTATATATATATATATATAGATATAGATAGATAGATAGATAGATAGATTTACACATACACACATATATTTTCAGGGACGGAGGGGAGAGCTAGTTGTTAAACATTTACCAGTGTACTGATGCCTTGCTGGTTGCCCTCCTGGACCCTCTGCAGCTTATCAATATCCTACTTAACCTGTGGTTCCCAGAATTGAACACAATACTCCAGAAGAGGCCTGACAAAGGCAGAGGACTGTGGGATTACTACTTTCCTATTCCTGGAAGCTATAAGCTTCCTAATGCAGCCCAAGACTAGAGTAGCTTTTGGGGTTGCCACATCAAACTAATGACTCCTACAGATCTTACACTCTACTAAACCCTCTAGATCCTTTCCAGAGCAACTGCTGTCTAGCCACATCTCCCTCATCTTAAGATTAGTGGTTGATTTGTTGAACCCAAGTACATTTATCCCTATTGAATCTCATCTTATGAGATTCAGCATATTTACTCTGTCAGGATCATTTTGAATGCTGCCTATCCTCCAGTCTATTAGCTATTTATTTCTTCCTTCTTTATGTAATCTGAAAAACTGATGAACATACTATCTACACCTTTATCCAAGTCACTGATTAAAACGTCAACCAGCTAAGGGCCAAGTACAGATCCCTAACACATTCCTCTGGAGACCTCCTGCTACTTTGATACTGAAGCATTAACATCTATTATTTTAGTCCAGCCATTCAACCAGCTCCGAATTGACCTAATTGTATTATCATCTAATCCATCTCTTTCCATCTTCTCCAAATGAATAGCAGAAAATTCTTTATCAGAAATTCTGCTAAAATCTAAGTGAAATATATCCATATCATTCTATTATTATCTAATAATAGATATTACCTATTATGTATATTTCATCTATTATAGTCTCTATATTATCTATCAGAAAAGGAAATCAGGTTAAGCTGGGAATATGTTTGATGAAGCCATGCTGTCTCTTTGTAATCCCTGTAATCACCATCCATCTCTTTAATGATCTTTCCAAGAATTTTCCCAGGAATCGAAGTCAAGCTCACTGACTTAAAGTTTTCTGCTCTTTTTGAAAATTGGGGCAACATTTACTATTTTCTAATTTTGTGACCCCTGTACCACAACATTTTCCTTGATCTTTGAAATACCATTGGTGGTGGTTCTGCAATCACATCTGCTAGAATATTATTTATTTGGGCCAAGTGCCTTTAATTCCTCAAAGGCAGCTAATTTCCCTTTTACTATGTCTTACTTGTCTTAGATATCAATTCCCTGTTGGTATTTTTGTTCTGTCTAGAGGTCATTTTCCTTTGCAGAGAAAATAGAAAGAAAATAAGCAACTTGGTCTTGCCCCATTAACCTCAAGCAATGGTCCTATTCCTTCTTTGATCTTTTTTTCCAATATAACAAAAAAATCCCTTTTTTGTTGCCATTAGCTTCCTCGGCTCACCCTGAGCTTTAGCATTCCTGACACTTAAAAATGTTATAGTCTCACCCTACAAGCTACCGAAAGAAGATACCAACTATCAGGCTATTATAATGGTCTGAACAAAGTGGTGATAAGGTCCTGAACTAGAGTTGGGGGAGCACAAACAAACTAGTGATTAATAATTTTCTGAAAAAAACAAAAACAAAAACGTAGCCATTGTCTTCTTTGTCCTGTTTAATCGCTCCAGCTCCTATTTCCAGTGAACTGAAAAACATCACATCTGGTCCAGGAAAAGGTTTTGGAAGATATCTCACTCCCTAGAGAGGTCGGTTGCTCATCTCAGTCTAATGAAACTTAATACAACCCAAAGTCATGGAGAGCAGGGCCAGCCTGAGGCAAAAGGGCAAAGTCAGTGACCTCTGGCTTCCTTCTACCTGTATTTCCCCTCAGTGTGCTGTTCACAAGTGTGACAGGGTCATATTTACAATTTTATAGTGGAAGTTTTCTTAGTTCATTTTGATCCAATTTGGCAGAGTTTAAACATTAAATGTGAGTCATCCTTACTATTATTGTTGTTGTTATTCAGTAAGTAGTAAGAGGCAGCACAGGTGTAGTAAATTCAACATTGGCCTTGGAATCGGTAAGATCTAAGTTCATCCTGCTTCAGACACTAACTAGCTGAATGACCCTGGGCATGAAGCTTCACCTCTGAGTCTCAGTTTTGTCCTTTGAACTTGGGGGGAGATGATAACAGCACCTATTTCATAGGCTGGTTGTAAGGCTCAAATGAGGTAACATAGGAAAAGCACTTTGCAAAGCTTAAAATACTATATAAAAAAGTCTTCAGTACTTCAAGGATCTATAACTTCATTGGGGTGGGTACTCGCACTACTACTGCAGACAGAGGACCCTCTATGGCTCTGCTTTTTCAGTTGTCTTGGCCAAAAAATTCTGTTGCCACATGGCTAACTCCAAACTTAGCTAGGCTGCTCCGCTGACAGTTCCATCACCAGAAGTCCTCCGGGTCAGACCCTGTCAGCTCTATGCTTTTCTAGTTCAGCCTTTGAGAAGTCAGGGTATTTGCAAGATGAGGCATCCAGTAGGACTCCAGGTGGGGAATCGTCATCATCATCATTTCAACAATGATTTATTTACCTGAGTTTCAGAAGCATATTGCCCATTCATATGGGGTCTATTTATCGAAGAATGACTAGACAGCACAGGAGAGGTCTCCCTTAAGAAAGTTATTATCCATTACCATAGAACCATCAACAGGCCCCTGATGAATGAATGTACTAATAGCAGTTGCTGCTTGGCAGACATTAGCCTAATTCCTTAGTTAGTTCTGACTTTAGCCCTGAGGTTTACCCTGGATAATAATAATGGCTAACATTTGTATAGTGCCTACTATGTACCAGTCACTGTGCTAAGTGCTTTACAAATACTACCTTGTTTGATCCTCAGCAACCCTGTGAGGAGGTGCTATTATTATCCCCATTTTACACATGAAGAAACTGAGGCAAGCAGATGCTAAGTGACTTGCCCAGGGTCACACAGCTAATATATGTCTGTGGCCAGATTCAAGGTCTTCCTTGCTCCAGGCCTGACACTCTATCCACTGTGACACCTAGAGAGTTTCCAAACTTACCCACCTTTTTTCCCAGGCTCGAGGGTTTTCTCAGGTTTCTCTTGCTGGGAGGTAGAGACCAATGGAGAAGGGGATTTTTTCTCTGCTGTTTCCTCCTCTTCCTTTCTCTTCTCAGTGGGAGGCACAGGTGGTAGCTGAAGATCACCACTGTCTTTGCCCCCATTTAGCTTCTCGCTGGCATCCTGGTCTGATTTCACTGCCCGCCTGGAGATTAGCTCGGCCAAGAATGGCCTTCCCATTTTGGAAAGGGGAGAGGATGGTGGGGTCTGACTGGTGGGTTTTGGGGCGAGGGCTGGCTTCTGCGGCAGTGGTGATTTAGCCCCTGGCTTGTCATGATCCAGAGGAGGAATGTGGCTACTGGGGAGCTGGGGTGCCAGCTGAGTTGGGTGTCGCCCAAGGCTGTCTAGGGAGTCTTTCACACCCAGCGGGTCATTCTTTTTCTCCTGGGTAGGTGATGTGGTACCTTTGACAATGGTAATTTCTTTTTCCCCATCTTTATCCTTCAGTACAGATGCTACCCCATCAAAAGTGTCACCGGTGCTATGCCTCTTCTTTCTCTTTGACTGTTCCACTTGCTGGTCATAGTGAAAACGCAAGGAGTAGTTGGTCCTTCTCAGCTTTATCCCAAAAGGTGATGTGCTCTCCTCCCCACTTGGCATGACATCCTCCGCTTTCCCCACACTGCTTGTCTCAGTTTCAGAGGAAGCTGCCAAGTCTGGCTGGACCAGGGCTTTCTGTGGAGCAAGAGGTGAACTTGGGACAAGGAAAGATGGAAGGTCTTTGGCAAATTTACATCCCTCTGCAGAGTCGGTTGGCTCCTGCGGCGTCCCTGTTCTCTCAGGAATTTTTTGGTGTCCACCAGCAGGAGGCTGGACCTCTGCTCTTTCGCTGGGCCCCAGCCCAGGCTTATTCCTAAGGTTTTCAGCATTCTGCTTTTGGCCTTTCATGCCACCATCAGAGAATTTCTGCCAGGCAGGCATGATGGAGAATTTTGCATTTGCTGATAAGGTTTTCCGGAGGTTTCCCCGGGCATCAGACCTGCCTTTGGAAGCACTCTCCCCACTGTGCCTTAACAGGTCCCTCTCATTGACTTGGCCATTATCAGTATTCTTTAGGATTCTAGAACGAATAGATTCCCACTCAGCTAAGGCAGCCTTACTGCTTGGAGACTCCTGAGGAAACTTGGCCTTCCCACTGGCTGCCCGCGCATCATGAGTGCCTCGTGGCGTGTTTTCCAAAGCAGGAATATCCATGTGCTTTTTTTCTTCTGACAAGCCCAGTAAAGTCTTGCAAGCTGTGTCCTTGATCTGGTTCAGGTTGACGGCTGGGTCACACAACTGTGCTCCTGTGACCAGGATTGCCGTGTGCGGAATGCTTAGCGAAGAAGGGAGGGGGTGGGAGGCCTTACTGGACTTACTGGCTTTGGGCTTTTGTGAGATGGACAGAAGCCCTGACTCCTTCCCAGGCGTCACTGGACTCAGATTGACTTTGGGAAATAGGATTTGTTTTCCTCCTGATGACACTTGGAACGTATACGGTCTGGGCATAGACTGCCTTTCCTCCACCTCTTGCCATCTCAGCTCCTCCCCCATCTGGTCCTTCTTCAGGGTAACAGTTTCTTTCTTCTCCCCCTGAGCCGGCTCATCCTCTGGCTGCCTCTTTTCTTTCTGGGGATGTCCCTGTTGAGTTCCTCCTCCTTCCTCCTGAAGCAGAGGGACACCTCCGTGACCATCCTCCCCTGTTTCCTCCACCTGGGGGCTCCGCTTCTCTACAAACTGCAGTCCCCTTCCGTTTCTTTCGTGGGCTTCATGCCTGGGGCATTTTTGTTCCTCCGGGCTCTTTCTGGAGTAGCCCTGAGCTGGGCTCTCCCGGTGCCTTTCCTCTCCTGCCTCAGGCTGCCCCTGGGCCCCGCGGCTGCTCTGCTCCCGGACTGCCTCCAAGCGCTTGCCCTCCTTCTCCCATGGCTGCAGCTGCTCTTCTCCCCTTCCTTCTGTGCGAAGCTGCTTTTCTACCTCTTGCTTGCTGTGTTCGGCTGTCCCCAAGTCTTGTCCTTCGAGGTCTGCCGGTGATTTCCCTTCATCTTCCCGGCTTGGTTCTCCGCCCTCTTGCTCCCTCCGCTCTCCGGTCTCCTCCAGGACCTTCCCTTCCTCCTCCTGCCTGTGCTTTTCCGCCTCTCGCATCTGCTCTTCGGTCTCCTCTCGACCCCGGAGCTCCTGCAGGAGCTTGGCTTCTTCCTCCTGCTGCTGTTTCTCAGGCTCTTGCTTCCCCCGCTCTTGTAGTCCTTCCTGTCTCTCGAGCTCCTCCGGGGGCTTCTCTGCCTCCAGCGGCCAACCCGGTTGTTCCTCCGCCTCCAGGCTCTTTTTCTCCTCTAGCTCCCGCTTTGTCTCTTTTAGTCTGCTTTCCTGCAGCTCTTGCCGATGCTGTTCTTCAAACCTTTGCCCTTCCTCTTCCTGGGGCCTCAGCCCTTCTGGATGCTGTTGTTTCTCCTTTTCTTCCTCTTCCTCTTCCTCCTCCTTCAGAAGTGGTTTTGGATTCTCTTCCCAAAGCCTCCTCTCTACTTCCTGAAGCCTTTGCTCTTCTAGTCGTTTCTTTTCTGCCTTTTGTCTTCTATATTCAGCCTCAAGATGTCTCCAGTATTCCTCTTGCTGTCTTTTCTCTTCCTCTGAATCAAGGGGTTTGAGTTCTTCATGCCAAGTTTGTTTTTCTTCTCCAGAGTGTCCATTCTGATCTAGGGACAGCTGACTCTCAAAGCTTTCTCGATCATTTTGTCGGTCCTAACATTGAAGAGGGAAACAATTAGTTTTTTTAAAATGATTTTTGTTTTGCTTTTTAAAAAATAGATAATAAGTATTTATAATGTATGTTTTAACTCAAAATAAGGGACAAGGGTCGATTAGTAGATAGTTGGATAAATAAGTCATGAGAGGCAGCACGGTGTAGTTGTAGAGGGCAGGCTTTCGTGTTTAGGACAACAAGGGGTCAAGTCTTGCCTAGGACACAGATTAGCTGTATGACCAAGGATACACTGACTAACCTCCAAACTCCAAGAAACTCCCAAGGATAAGTTGTGGTTGCAATCTAGAAAAACCTATAGTGTTTCCAGGAAAACCCCATGGTCTTTCCTTAAACACACCAGATAAATAAACCTAGTGCTTTCAGCTCGGACAGGTCATCTGATTTTTTTTTTTTTTTTTTTTTTGCAAGACCCTTTTGGTGCTGGCAACACACCTAGACTGTTGCCAATCAGCATCACTAGAGGGAGTTTCCATAATAGAAGATGAAATCACAGACACAGATCAAAACCAACCAAATCAATCCTTTTGCCTCCTCCCCCTCTTCACCAAGAAAAGTTAAGGGTTTAACCACAGGCATAGGAAAAGGAAGTGGTAAGAGCTAGAGCAAAATCCTTTACTACATGTATATCTCAACCCCCCCTCCCCCCTTCAAATTAATTTTTCTCATCACTGGAAGACAGTGGTAGCAAATTAGGCCTTTACGGCGGAAAGATCTGGAAGAAGATAACAGATTTGTACTTAATGAAATTGGCTTTAATTTAATTTAATTTAAAATGGCTGGCTTGGAAGCAGGGGTATACTGAAGCCAGCTTAGGTTCTGCAAGCAAACTGTCAAATTTTCACTGTGAGTATTTACACCTGGATGACAATTTTTTACCTTAGCCGTAAACCAGGGCTTCATATATTGTCTTAATCGTCTAGAGCTGGGATAGAGAACCTGTGGCCACAAGGTCACACGTGGCCCTCTAGGTCCTCATGTGCAGCCCTCTAACTGATCTAAACTTCACAGAACAAATCCCCTTAATAAAAGGATTTGTCCAGTAAAACTTGGACTCAGTCAAAAGGCCTCACCCAAGGACCTAGAGGGCCATATAAGACCTCGAGGCCGAAGGTTCCCCACCCCTGGACTAGAGTCTAGACCAGGGGTCTGCCTCTCCTCCTAAGAATAGTTTTTATTCAATGGTTTTATTTTTAATGGTATTTCATTTATTTAAAACTTAATTGAAAACTGTAAAATTCTTTTTTAAGTCAAGGACCATAGGAAAATGGGTAGATTTAGCCTATTCCCTTAGTTTGCCAACCCTTGTCAGAACTTAAGAAAGTGATGGAGAAAATGTGAAAAATGCAAATTAAACTTAAGAGTGTGTCTTGTACATATGTCTTTTTTTCTGGGGAGCTGGTTGTTAAACATTTACCAGAATACCCCTGCTTAGAAGGCTTTGGTAATGCGACTGTGAAGCCTATGCAGCAGCAAGAAGAAATGAAACTTGGAGCTAGGTTGAAGATAATTTATAGGTAAATTACAGGTAATGGTGATGGCACTGTCAATTTTGGGTCAACTCAACTTAAAAGAGGGCCCCCTTATCCTAGGACAACTCCTCCTGTCCTCCCATGCTACAGCCTACCACCTCCCTACCCTACTGGAACTTGGAAATGTAAGGCCTTATGGTATGGAATTTGTGCCCAGGATGAAAGTACATCTGTGAGTCAGCAAGAATGGCCCCATACTTTGGACAGTCTCCTGTGATTCTTGGACACCCTTTGGTTCTTTGGCTTCACAGCCAGTTTGTGCTTGGCTGCGCTGTTGTCCAGGCGAGCAATGGCCCGAGGAATGGCATCAAGGTTAACGCTTTCGATGGTGCCCGCAGAGGAGAAATGTCGCTTTGGCCGAGATGATTTAACTGGAGCAACCTGTGTTGTGATTAAAAACAAAAGTAGGAATTAGAAAACAATTCTGAGATTTCCGGATTGCCAACCATTTTGTAAGGTGATGGTATTGAGTGGAGAATGAATATGTGATAGAAGAAAGTTATCAAAAAAAGATTTGTTTTTAAAAGGTATCCAAAATCAATGTCTTTGTCAAGGTAGCAGAGGTGACCTTGGCTGGGCCCCCTACTAAATTAGCAAGGTTCTCTGTTCTGGTCAGAGCATAAGAAAGTCGAAACATGTCAGGGGGAAGAAAAGAAATCTTTATTTAGATATTATTTACTGGTATCTTCCAAAGAATAGGTACACAATAAATTTAATGTCATGAAATAATTGTGTGATATGACCATTTGAGAAGTTTAAAGTTCGGCAATTTATTAATTAAAAAAAATAATTTAGAGGACCCAGGACTCATATACAAAAATATTTGTTCTTTAGTTGTTTCAGTCGTGTCTGACTCTTCATGACCCCATTTGGGGTTTTCTTGGCAAAGATACTGGAGCGGTTTGCTATTTCCTTCTCTACCTCATTTTATAGATGAAGAAACTGAGGCAAACATGGTTAAGTGACTTCCCAAGGGTCAATATATGTCTCTGGCCAGATTTTAACTCAGGAAGTTGTCTTCCTAGCTTCAGACTTGGCACTCTATTCACTGTGCCATCTAGCTGCCCCCAAATAGTTACAGTTCCTTTTTCTGTAATGGCAAAGAATTGGAAACTCGGGAGCACCCATTAATTGGAGAATGGTTGAACAAATTGTGGTATATGGATGTTATACTATTGTGCTGAGAAAAATGACAAAGGGGAAGGTTTCAGAGAAACCTGGGAAGACCTATATGAACTGATCCATAGTGAAGTGGGATGAATGAGGACAAGTTATATGATCATAACTACAATCAATGTCAATAAAGACAATTTTTGAAAGACTTAAGAACTCTAATCAACATAATGACCAGCCGTGATTCCAGGGAACTGATAGTAAAGCATGCTACTTACCTCTTGACAGAGGTGATGACTTGGGGTTCAGAATAAGCCATATTTTTTGAACATGGCCAATGTGGAAATTTGTTTTGCCTGACTATGCCTTATTTGTTGTTTCCTTTTCTTTTCCTTTTTTTTTTTTTTGTTGTTGCTTTATTTGGCCTCATGGCTCAAGTGAGAGCAAAGACTGAAGTTTCAAGATTTTTAGGAAACTGACACTCGGGAAGCTGGCACAAGCAAGAGCGTTATTACTGTGTGGCATAACAAGCAGGCAAAAAACAAAGTGTCAGGGGAGATGTGTATGGTGGCAATGATCTTGGTGGGTATACACAATCAGAGTGAGGTCTGAGCAGCGAAGTCTTCAACCTTAAAGATGGGGCTTAGTTGAGAATAGATAATCAATTCCAGATGAGGAAGGGAGCATTCCTAATTAGACCCAGATATAGTGAGGAAAGTCCTGGATCACTTATCTATGCCAGACTCAGGTGAAGAAGTTTCCTAACTGAAACCAGAAATTGATTAAGAGTTTACGTAATTGGGGACCTGGGAATAGGTTTTGAGGGGCGGCCACTACAGTTGGCCAGGAGCCTCACCCAATCAGGAGCTAAGATCATTTGCATGTTCGACACATGGTCAGAATGAGTCAAAACAGTGGAAAAGTTACAGACTGTCAGTTTTTGCTTATATGTTTATGGTCATTAAGACCACTTAGCCTAAGTGACTCCACACTGGAGTCCTCTCATAACTACAACATCAAACAATATATTTCAAAAATCACAACTATCACATTTGTTCATTGAAAAAAAATTAAAATTTAAAATGCATTTAGAGGATCTGGTCACAATTTCTTGAAGCACAGTACTAAAATATTTTGGGAAATGTTCAGTGCCAGCACCAAACCTTAGGCCTGGGCGAGAGTGATGCTTCTTTTCAATACCCTCCTTCCCTAGCACCCTTGTGGGGTTTACGTAATGTTCATGTTCATGGTGAGTCTGTGGTTCCCTGTAAAAAGCTTACCCCTCCATCTCTGCAAAAGAAGAATGTGAGAATGCAATTTGGGGTAAACAAATTCATCCAATGATAAACAAGTATTTAGGGAGCTTTTTACCATAGGTGAGGCATTTAGTTCCAGAGTTCTTTACTTCAGAAGGGAAGTCAGGTACTATTGGTGGAACTGTGAAATGGTCCACTCTCTTGGATTTCAATTTGGAATGATACCAGAAAAGGGACCAAACTTTTTTTTCTGCCCCTCATATCCCCCCAAAAAGTCAAAGGTAAAAGCAATGGTCTAATATAGACCAAAATATTCTTAGCAGCATAGTTTCAGAAACCTCAGGCCTGACATCTGTGATCTCTACATCCTGTATACATCGGTTTTGGGATGGAGGTACTGCAGATACAAAGCAAAAGCAAAAAACAAAAAAGTCCCTGACTTCAAGGAGCTTACATTCTAACGGGGGAGGCAATATGTACAAACCAGGATGCACAAGATAAAGGAAATGAAGATACAGTGGAGACAGGAAGTAAACTTAGAGGGATGCCACTAGTACCTGGGGGGAACCATGAGAGGCTTCCTGGAGGAGGTGGAGTTTGAGCTTAGCCTTAAATGAATGAAGTCAGAAGTCAGGGATTCTAAGAGTTGGAGGTTAGGAGAGGGAACATTCCATGCATGGGGAACATTACCAGTGCAATGGCGAGGAGATAGGAAATGAAGTGCCGTGTACTCGGAATAACAGATAGACCAGGGAAAGCTATAGTGTATGGAGTGCCAGGCCTGGAGTCAGGAAGACCTGAGTTCAAATTCGACCTCAGACACTTAGCTGTGTGACCCTGGAGCAAATCACTTAACCCAGTTTACCTCAGTTTCCTCCTCTGTAAAATGATCTGGGGAAGGAAACGGCAAACCACTCCAGTGTCTTTGCCAAGAAAGCCCCAAATGGGGTCACGAAGAGTCAGACAGGATGGAACAGCTGGATCACGTAGTGCAGAACAGGAAGGTGAGAGAAGGTAAGGCTCAATAGGCTGAGCGTGACAAAGAGAGGCAGCTGCAGCCCATAAAGAGGGGAGGTTTTCACTCAAACCAGTGAGGACCAAAAGGTCCTGGTCACACCATGTCTCCCGGCTGCAGGACACGGGCCCATGACCATTATCACTCGGTGCAGAGATTAGGGGAGGGCAACTTTATGCGGGTGCACTTGGTGGTGACTGTGCAATCAGCAGGGTTTCTGTGGTAGTCCCTCATTTTCCAATGACTTTACATATTTATGTGTAAAAGGCAAGATTTAGGCTTGTCCTAAAGGCTTTACCTGTTTCAGGTAAATTCAAAGTGCTTAAAGAAGCTGGAGTATCACTGGACTAGAAAACAATAAGATTATGGAAGTTAGATGTTAGCATTCAGTAAATATGGCCAATAAAAAAAAACAAAACCCAGATGTCATCTTTGGCTTTCTAACTTTCCAAGTCTGTGTGACTCTACCACATAGGAAAAGATTCTTGATTCAATTTAAACGAAATAAATCTATCATTTCCATTCTTTCCCTAAGAGGTGGGTAAAAAAAGGACTGACAAATCAGCTCTCAAAAAGTTCACTAAAAGACTGAACACACAGACATGTACTTGTAAAAACGACAAAAATCAATGCTTGTACCTAAGCACAAGTGATTCAGGGGTGGGTAACCTATAGCCTCGAGGCCACTAGGTCCTCAAGTGTGGCCCTTTGACTGAATCCGTTTGTTCTGTGAAGTTTGGATTCGGTCAAAGGGCCGCACTTGAGGACCTAGAGGGCCACATGTGGGCTCAAGGCTGAAGGTTCCCTATCCTTGGATTAGATCTTGAGATGAGTAACTTGACTGAGACTTTTGTCCTGCACTGGCCATTTTTAAGTTATTTGAGCAGTACAAATCATCTTCAAAAATAAACTTCCAAGGGCTCATGTGCAGAAGGTCAGACAGTAACCACTGTGTACAATCTCTTAAGCCTGGAACCCTAGCCTGGAGCCCTGGGAAGATGAGAAGGGTCATCATAGCAGGCCAGACTCTGAAGAGAGCATGACCTACAGTTTCCTCACAGGCTTCATTTGACTCCTGCTGTGAAATTCACAGATGCAAAATGAAAGCTGCAAAACCAGAGGACAGATGGGGGAAGGGAAAGGCCAAATATCTAGGTACTAAAGAAGAAAGAGAGACAGTTTTTTAGAGCTACAAGTACCTTCATGTACCTTGGACAGCTGTGTCAAATGGCTTTTTAACTTAATGAAGCATGTGAACCTCTTTTGAAAATTATCTGTGTCTAAGTGTCCAAATTCAGGCATGCTGGGGAGTCTCGGTTTTCCAGAGCAGGGTCCAGTTTCATCAGGCACACATTGTCATGGAAACAGATTACCCAACATCTGTTACTGCTGACTTATCAGTGCATCTTTAAGGGCCATGTGGCTGCACTTTGAAGGGCCTTAAAGCCATAAGTGAACGTAAAATTTGCAAATGGAAAAGTGAGGAAAATAAATAGCAAATGATTACAGAGGAAAAAAAGAAGCAGAGAAATTAAATGAACAGATGCATATCTTCTTACCTTCTCCTCCATTTCACTCCCTGTTCCAGGTAAATTCAAAGGGCTTAAGGAAGTTGGAGTATCACTGGACTAAGAAAACAATAAGATTACAGAAGTTAGATGTTGGGACATCTGGCCAAAAATTAACAAAAGATGACGTTTATTCATCTCTTGGTAGGCCCACGTCTGGCTCTGTATTCTGTTATTGTTGGGTTTTTTCCCTATTTATTTTTCTATTTTTGTTCTCAATGTATCAAAGGAGCTCAGGAAGGGCTACAAATGGAAACAGAAGATTAAAGTAGCCCAACCAAAACCCAAGCAGGAAATTTCTACAGTATAACAAATGTTAATATTAAGTGCCTACTGTATGTAAAGCACTGTCCTAGGCTCTAGGAAACACAAAGCCTATTTAAGCAAAACAAAATTCTTGGCCTCGAGGAGCTTATAGTCTAGTAGGGGGTTCTAACATGTCTAACAAATCCAGTTCACAATAATGAGGAATTCACTACTTTCTGAGGTGCTCCATCTCATTAACAACTCTAATTTTTGTGAAGCTTTTATTGAGTCAAAATCAGCTCCTTTTCACTATTTATAAGAACAGACATTATTACTAAAGTATGTGGCTGAAGATTAAAGCCCTTCTTTTGTTTAAAAAAAAAAAAACCCACCTCTAGAAACAAAAATAATGTATTCCATAGGAGCATGGAGCGAGCAGCTGGCCTTTGATCTGGTGTTAACACATTTCCACATCATGGCAGTCTCCTATTTCAGTTCCTTGACTTGGTACATGGTCCGCTCACATCTGTGGTCTTTGACCCCAGTTCACCTAATGTGAGCTGATGATGTCAAAGAGGGCAGTTAAATAAGCCCTCACCATCTCATTGCCCTTTTTTCATCTTAGGCTCCCTTTCATCCTCTTCTCCTGGTTCTATCACTTTCAAACAATAAGCAAGAATAGTAAGCAAAAAAAGCTCAACTCTCTTTTTACCAAATGGAGGTGAGAGAAACTAGATGGGCATAGAAGGAACTGTAAATACAAGGAAAAAGAGACAGGGTAAAATAGGTAAAATTGACTTTTGTAAAGTTTTCCCTTTCCTGTAACTTTTCATCCTCTGACTTCCCTTTTAAAATGCCCAGTGTCTTTCTTCTTTCAAAATCTGTTGTTAGAGAGAACTTGGTATCAGTTATTTACAATTTAGTGTGAATTTGTTAATTTGTTATCCAAGGGAATATTTCAATTTAGTCATATTCTAATTGTGGAATGAACTGGCTTGTCCAATTAAGTTGATTTTAAGCATTAAGGAAGGAAATTTTTTGGGGTAGAGTTGGGGTTCCTTTGGGAAATCTAGCCCTTGTTTTTTTTTTTTAATTTTCATTTATTTATTTATTTTTTAGGCAATTGGGGTTAAGTAACTTGCCCAGGGTCACACAGCTAGTAAATGTCAAGTGTTTGGTCTGAGGCTAGATCTGAACTCAGGTCCTCCTGACTTCAGGGCCAGCGCTCTATCCACTTTACCACCTAGCTGCCCTAAAGGATGTATTCTTAATTATCTTTAATTTCCCCCCATATAATCTCTAACTTTATCTAAAGTCTTTCTTTTCTATTTCAACCTGGAGGAATTTTTGGGATTTTAGGTACCTGCTATATAGATAAGTACCTCCTTATTTTACTTTAAAATTACTTCCTTCAAGAATGGAGGGTTGGGAGGCAGCTAGGTGGCACAGTGGGTAGAGCATCAGCCCTGGAGTCAGGAGGACCTGAGTTCAAATCCAGCCTTAGACAAATGAAACTCACTGGCTGTGTGACCCAAGGCAAGTCACTTAACCCTGAGTGCCTCACCAAAAAAAAAAAAAAGAATGGGATTGGGGAAGGTAAGGGTGAAGCATACTGCCTTTTCTCCTTACTATTCTATAGTGGTAGCACATTCCTTTACACCTCCTAAAGGAACTTTTAAGAATTTTTAAAAGTTCTCCTGTCTCTGGCACAGGTGTTTAAAACCATGATAAAATTCCTAGGACATCCCTTCAAAAAAGGATGCAATGTTGCTATTGCTGCTGTAGCCCAGCATTGATTGGTGAGGCTAGTGATAAGGTATCATCCTACAGCCAGGAAGAACATTGGATTTGGATCCAGGGATCTGTGTTCAAATTCTGTCTCAGCTACTTTCTACCTAATGACCTCTTGCCGGACTATTGTAATAGCCTGCAGGTGGATCTGCCTCTCTCCACTCCAATCCATCCTCCATCTAGCCACTAAAGTAATTTTTTTTTTTTTTTTTGGCAATTGGGGTTAAGTGACTTGTCCAGGGTCACACAGCCAGTGAGTGTCAAGTGTTTGGTCTGAGGCCAGATTTGAACTCAAGTCCTCCTGACTCTATCTCCTGTGCCACCTAGCTGCCCCTAAGTGATTCTCTTAAAGTGCAGTTCCAACCATCTCAACCCCTATTCAATAAACTCCAGTGGCTCCCTATTGCCTCCAGGATCAAATACAAAATTCTCCATTTGGCATTTTTCCTAGCTTCCCAGTCTTCTTACATCTTACTCCTTGACAAGAACTCTTCAGTCTAATGATGATGGTCCCGAGGCTATTCCACAAAATGCTCTTTTTTTTCCCTTGAATTCACCTTTATTTTTTAAAGTTTATTTATTTTTAGTTTTCAACATTCACTTCGAAGATTTTGAGTTCCAAATTTTCTCCCCATCTCTCCCCTCTCCCCACCCCAAGACGTTGTGCAGTCTGATTACCCCTTCCCCCAATCTGCCCCCTTTTCTATCACCCCCCCCTTCTCTTATCCCCTTCCTCTTCTATTTTCCTGTAGGGCAGGATAGATTTCTATAACCCGTTGCCTGTATCTTATTTCCCAGTTGCATGTGAAAACAATTTTTAACACTTGTTTTTAAAACTTTGGGTTTCAAATTCTCTCCTTTTCTCCCTCCCCACCCACCCTATGCTCTTCTTTAGTCCACCTGCTGCCCTCCCTAGATTTCTTTAAATCTCAGCTAAAATCTCTTCTTTAATTAGAAGCTTTTCCCTCTTAATTTTACCGCTTTCCCTGTTAATCATTTCCTATTTATCTGTATATATTTTGCTTTGTATATATTTGTTTGCACATTGTCTTCTCCTCGAGGACAGGGATTATCTTTTGCCTCTTTTTGTGTCTGGCACTCAGCAGGTACTTAATAAATGCTTACTAACTGATTAATTGCCAGGTGGTACCTCCCCACCCACCTGAAGAGATTGGCACTAGGACTTGCCCTTCTCCATTGACAAAGAATCAACGTAGTGATAGAAGGGCCTACATTAGATCCCTTTTAAAAAACTCCTGGAGGGAGGGAAGTGGTCCTGGAGGGAAGGCTCATTTCTGAAATGTTAACCCAGGTTATATTTTGGTATATCTTTTCCTTGTTCAATATTCCTAAAATGATATCTGAAATCTTCTTGGGGCAGAGCTCCACGTTTAGGGGAGAGGGACTACGTCAATTTGAACATCTCTCTCTCTAAGCTAAAAATGGCTTGGATATAGATTAAGGTTAAATGAAATAAAATTATTTCTGGTAGATTTGACCCTAATTACCATATTAGTGTTAACATTTTATTTCTTTGAAACATAGCTGCAACCTCTTGGACTGTCATGGCAGAGGGCTGTACTGCAGTAGAAAACAATGGCTGTAGACAAAACAGACTTTTCCTTCTTCAAAGGGGGATACCTTCCCCACTCTAGGGACCTTCCCTCACTGCTTCATCCTTTCTGTTCCATCAGCCTCCACAGCCGGCATAAGAAGGTCCTGACTCACCTCCCAACCATGAGAGGATGCGTCACTCATCAGATTATTGGAAATTGGGTCCTGTTGGTGACAACTCACTTTATTCTCACTATCGGAGAGCACTAAATCCTGGTGGGTCACGATTTCCATGGGACTACTCAGGAACAGATCGTCTTCTAAGCTAGTCTCCGGACTGGGAGTGTCTGTCCTCTTCATAGGAAGGGCTGTGGGTGGTGGGGACTGCCCAAACTTGATGTTCTTGCCCAACTGTGGCTGAAGAAAGAAGAAAAAAAGAAAACTAGTCAATTCTGGAACAGCAGAGCCATTAGAAATTCTAGAACTAAGGGCTGCCCAGAGTATCTGGTAAAAGTAAGGGTATGTTCTAGATGGAACTGATTCAATTCATGAGCGAAGCAAACTAAAGCACATGGAGGCAAGTGACCATGATGAAGGGCTATGATGTTAACTGGGAGCACGTGTTTTTTTAGTTTCCTTTCTTCCTTCCCCTCCTCACAAACCACTCTCGTTCCTTCCCAATGGTGAGCCATGAACATTCTCATCTAACCAGCATCTTCCTAGATCTCTTTATAAACCTCAAAAGTACTTGCCAGTTCTTTTGGAGCCATTCACCCTCTGAACCTCCCTCTGGATGAACAAGATTCCTTGTGTTCACACCACTTCCCAAGCTCCGGCTCCACCCCAGGGCAGGTGGGTGGAGAGGGACCTTGACCCTTTGGAATACTGTTCTAAATAGGATATAGAAAATGCCATTTATTAGCAAAGCTTTTTTTTCCCTTCTAAATGAAACCCTTCAGGGAAGTTTCATTAATGATGCTCTTCGTCCCTGACACCATCTCTGCTTTACTTTTTGCAAACACCCCTGGTAATTCTACGGTGAAAAGCACTAGATTAAACAGGCAGATGCAAAAAAGAGGAGCACAGAAAGGTAGTGAATGGAGAGGACAGAGAAAAAGGTAAGGAGAAAAGAGAAAGGGATGGGGAGGAAGATAAGGAACGAGGTGAGGGCAAGGCAAGGCACAGAAATGAGAAGGGAATAGGGAGAACATTTAAAGGAAGCATATAATTAAAAGGCCAAGGGAATAGAAATAAAATATTCATTGAAGAAAAAGAAAAAAATAACACTTAAGGAAGATGGGGCAACATATGTCACACATCTTCGATGCATCTGTGAGCCTATGCATGAGGGTACTCTCTCCAGTGATGTAAAGATAGCAACCTGTTTACATCTTGTCAGCCTCTGTACCTCTTGCTTATTATTTCAATGACTCCCGGGCTGGACAACTGATGGTGCCCTGGGTGTCACTGTTTTAATAAAGCATGGGGCTTCCTATTCATCAGTAATCCCTTGCTCTCTCTCTTTTTCCCTTTACCTGAGCAGTTCATCTCTTTTTTCCATCACATGTGTCACTGATGACATCATTTATAACACTTTCCACAGACCTTTCTTGGTCTGGTAACAAGTTTCTACTTTCTTGTGGCCACCATATGCCTTCCCACTGCCCTCTGGGTGACCTCAAGTTTAATTCTTCAGACACTATAATATATATAACACAGCTTGCTGCCATTCAATATCATTGGAAGAATATTGATAAGCTGAACATAAATATCTAGCAGAAATAAATGGCATCTAGAGAGGAAAAGATCTATGTGGTGATTTGAGATAATACTGATTTGAGGGTAAGCAAGGTCAAATAAGTTAGTATTCTAAATAATAGCTTTTTACTCTGGCTAATCTTTAAACCCAAAGACAAATTCAGCAACTTAGTGCCTTCTAACAGGAGCAAGAATAAAGACAGGAGGTAGATTTGTTCTTGTGTTACTGGGTCTCTAGCAATAGGGTTTCCAAAGGGAGTGTGCTCTTCTTTGCTTCTACCCAAAGGAAGCCCTACAAGGAAAGATCTCTTCATTGAACTGTGAGGCTGATAAGTGTCTAGAGATTCATAATTATATAATTCTATAAGCCACCAACTCCACTAGGTGACCTTAGTATGGACCCACTGGTAGTAGGGTTTTGCCTGACTCCAACATCATAGATGGCAACCCCACTGAATATACTGAGGAACTTTTGATGTCAGCCTATGAAATGATGAACAGCGGGAGCAGCCTAAGAGGGAGAAGCTATGATTCTAAGACCAGAGGGAAGGGGCAGTGAGTGCCTAATGAAAGCCAGTCAACAAGCAAGCTCAGCAGAAACAGCCAATGAATCAGAAAAGACATGGATTAACAGGAACTACACAGACAACTTATATCATTCATTCCTTTGAACAACCTCCTTGGGAGAGTAGGAATGGGAAACTCCAAAGATTCTGGCCAAAGCAGGACAGAAGTTGGTGTTCCTTTGTTTGGGATAAAAGGACCAGGAGGAATACCCCCAGCAAAGCCTAACTCAGCCTGCAGTTTGAGCATTCTCTTTTCTAGGAGCACTGACCAAGCTACAGATAACTGTTCTCAGTCATTTTAGACTTCACATTCTTTTCTGAAGGAGCTCCACTAACCAATCCCTAAAATGACCGAGATAGAGATCATTTGTTCTACTTACAATTGGAAAAATAAAGCTGATCTCCTTAGGGAAGGAGCTGGATCTAACTTTGATTCCACATTCTTTTGTTATTTAATAAATGTTTCTAACACTACCACTATTGATAAGCTTTCCATTATTTTATTTTAGCTCAACAGAAATATTAATATTGACCTACAGTGATACTTGGAGTAAGCTAAGAATGTAGCAAAACTTAGAACTGAACTCTCAAGCTGGGAAAGGGAAGGAGAGAAGTAAGACAAACAGATAACCTATAGGCCAAGGGGGGGGACCATCAGGAAGAATGGATAGGAAAAGAAAAGAAAAAAAAAGCTGAAGTTAAAGGACCAGAAAAACAAGGAAGGGGAGGAAGAGTGGGGGAGAGAAGAGGAGAAAAAGAGGTGAATTCAAAGAGAAAGAAGTTGGGAAAGAAAAAGTAAGCAAACAAAAGAGATGAGACCAGGAAAGGAAGAAGAATGGCAAATCTGGTGGAAAATGTACCATGTTGTGAGGTGCACGTGTGTGTATTTGTGCACACATTTGTCTATGGCACCCGAGTGATTATATGTAAATAGACTGTTTTGTTTCATCAAAGTATTTATTCTGGCAGCAGACACCTCATGCTATTGCTTTCCAGAATGAAAACATTCACCTAAGTAGAAGGGGCTGATTTAAAATCCCCCAGAGAAAAGAAATTCAGATTAGAAGCAGGTGTTCCTACATTACTAACTTAAGTTTTATTGTCTTTACAATTCATACAGAGTGAGTGTGTGTGTGAGCGGTGGAGGTGGGAGGGGTTGTGTCCATGTGTGGGAGGGAAGAATGGTGTGCGGCACTGAGATAAACCAGTTCTACAAATATTTATTATGTGCCTAAAGCAGTGCTTTGCACACAACAGGTGCTTAATTAATGTCTGTTGAACCGAATTTTAACGATAACTAATTACAGTTCACAAAGAGAGCAAACTTTTCATCATGTAGACAAAAGACTGTTTTTAAACACACAAACTACCACTGAACAAAAAGTGGTGAAGTCCAGGTAGCCTTCAATTGTCCATCTCAAGAGTCATGACCATAATGGTGCAATGACAAAGAAGGTAGTCAGAACTAGAGAGGTAATTTGTGACAACCTAGCTCTCTCAGACACTTTCCCTTTGGTAGCCACAATCTTTCAGCAGGCTGGCAACATTTGGCTATAAGTCACTATATAGTTTCAAGGTTCTTGCTGCCCACATTTAGTGATCTCAGGCACAACCATTACTAGGAAATTTTATTCAGAGGGCAAATATAGACCAAAACAGGGGCAAGTGCCCCAATACAGAGGTAGGAAGGGGTGGGAAAGGGCAGAGAATCGGCTCCACAGGGAAAGACCCTGGGACATCTACATTAAACCACTGCTAAAAAGGGTGGCAGCAGGAAGGAGAGTAGGCTGGAGGAGAGTTCATCCAAACCTATTGTCTGGCATTCAATTAAAATATCAACTATTTCTATTTTCATCATTCTTGCTAACCAGGTGCTAAGATCTGTTATTTCTGTGCTACCAATGCCGTCTGAGCCTTTTCAATTCAATGCAATGCAGCAAGCTCCTAGTTGCATTCTCCTTTCTGGTACTGTGAAACTGAATTAATGGCTAAATAAATTCATTAAATAGAGTTCTGAATGTCACGTAAAATGGCGTTGGTTACTCTGGTCTCTCTCCACTCTTTGATCACTGGCATTAAGGGAAGTTTAAAATGCTTAATCACAGTAAACAACAGTCTAGTAAGGAGAACTTTCTCTTTTTTGCATGGACTATGTGATTTCCTTGGGGTAGGAAACTCTGACTGAGGAAATGAATGCCCTTTGCCAAAAGAAAATGGGCAAATTTCATGCATCTAATAGTCTTATAAAAAAACTGCCCTGGGTTGGCTGGGGGCGGGGGGCGGGGGTTGTGAGAGAAGAAGTGATTTGCCCAGGATCACAGGGCCAGTCTGGTATCAGGGCTGGGCCTTGCAGAACTGTATCTGGCCACTCTTTAACATTGCCTTGGAATTCTTTGTTGAGCTTAACATTTTTTAAAAGAATGATCCTCCTCTTTTGGGGAAGTACTCCTAACGTCTCTTCCCCTCATACAAACTGCAATTCATAAACCGGAGAGGAAAGTATGGAAACTTGTGCCCTATAGATAAATGCATGAAGTGTGGCTATGAATGGAGCTACTGTGCAGAATGGAATGTCAAATCAAAGAAGCCACATTTTATTCACTCAGATTGGGGCATTTTGTTGTAATATGGAATGTTGCAGAATGATGTTATGAGAATGCACATACATATTTATGAGGATTTTTTTTTAATCCTGTGGAAATTCCCCAGAGGGCCCCTGTTTGTGCTTTGCAGTCCTCACACTGCCAACATAAGCTTCTCCCAGGTGTTTCTTCAGCACTACATGGATTCTGCTGTGAAAGAAAAACGAAGCCACCGCCGCCACCCTGAGCACACTGCAGCTTCCTTCTCTCAGCAGTTACAATTCCAAAAAAAAAAATTATTTAAATCCCGACATCAATTTAAAGTAATCAGCTCCATTTAGAAGTTCTTAACAGTCTACAATCTTTCCTTTTGTCCTTGACAGCTGCAGGGGAACATTAAGCGATGAAATCCCCAGACATATTATGTTGCCTAAAGCATGCTTCAGACAAGCCCAAGCTACCTCAGATAGGCAGGATGGATGTTTCCTCTCCTGATAGGGCCACGATTTGGCACAGTCCTATCACCATGTCCTGACTCATAATTTTTAAATTCCTTACCTGATTACCATGGTCAGGATGAGTCTAACTCAAGTCTTTCTTGGTATACACCTCATGGTCCAGATCTGATCTCACAAAGATAAAGACAGCTCTACTCACTTCCCCACTGCAAGGTAGTTTTAACTAATATTAAGGCTGCTCTGTCCAAAGCAGGCAAACCTCAAAGCTTGCAAAAACATTCAGAGACACAGAAAAATGCTTTTCTATGGAACCACTACCCCATCAACCACAGAGAGACATGAACGAAGAGGCATGGGCGATCACCTGCAGCCAAAATTAAGGGCAGGAGATATGCTATACTTGGAAAAGTGTGGGCTTATGGTCAGTGATTAGATTTGGGTAGGATACACTGACTATATACAGCATTACCTGAGAGAGGCACCTGTATGAACACTAGAGGGCCACCTCTCCAAATAGCTCCACATGAGGTTGGCTCTGGAGTCACTGAAAGTTTTCTTAAGCTTTAAAGGAAACTTGCCAATGTTACCCTTTTCCTGTGGCATTTCAGTAGAATCTTGTTTAAAAGGAATTCCTAAAAAAAAATCGGCCAGTCATTTCGAGAGTTAATTTTCTGCCAAATAGGTGTTATTCATGACCCCATTTCTCCTTGCAGACATACACACGCCCAGACATACAAATGGTCATGCTCACACCAATGAACACGCACCCCATGCTGATGCATGTGGGTGGGCAATCCTTTTGTGCAGCTCACTAAGCATCAAGACCAGTGTCATGTTTTCATGGGTAAGGCAAAGCACTCATGCAAGTCAATCTGGAGTTACCAGTGTTTCTAAGACTTACCAGGAACATACTGCTTAGTCGACTGCAAAATAAAGCACAATCTTTGGGGATGACTCAGTTATTGATTGCAATACACCAACAATCACATTCTCTATGATGATGGCAACCACTTTGTTCCTTGGACAATTGGGTCTCCAGTTTTTGTTTTTGCATTTTAAATGCAAAATTAAATTTTTTCATTTTAAAACTACATCCCCAAACTGGAAGTCCCACAATAAGGTCCATGTGGCTGAATTTGTTCTTAAAACTCAAGGACAAGCAAATTACATGTTAACAGATGTTGTCAAAGCAGAAGCCAAACTGGAAGTTGTTTCTGATTTTCTTATATATTTCTTCCCTATGTCAATGGACTTAAATTTGGAGGGAAAAGAGCAAATGACAGAGAAGGGAGATATTAATAACTGAAAATGGCTCTAAGCCTTTTGGGACACCCTAAATCTTATTTGCACAGCACCCTGAATATAAGTAGGCATTTGACAACTTGGTGATTGATTTTAATTTTTCATTATTACACAACTATATTTTTCAGTCTTTTGAACTTAACTAATATTAAGGGTGCTCTGTCCAAAAGGGGCAAACCTCAAAGCCTGCAAAAACATTCAGAGCCACTGAAGGTAAAACGTGCCTTTCTGAGGAACCACTACCCCATCACCCACAGAGGGACATGAACTAAGAGGCGTGGGCCATCACCTGCAGCCAAAATTAAGGGTAGGAGATACGCTATACTGGGAGAAGTGGGGGCTTAGGGTCAACCCAGTGCTGAAGTGGGGCCTTCAAATGATACAGCAGAAACCATTTAAAGTTACCCATCATTATGTGACTGTTTTTAAGGCAGCTCTAGCACAGAGGTTCTTTTCTTTTTTATTCAGTTTTATTTTATTTTCAGTTCCAAATTCTCTTCCACCCACCTCCCCCACCCCCACCCACTGAGAAAGCATGAAGAAGCAAAATTCATCGCAAATATGTATAGTCAAGTAAACGAATTCCCACACTGACCATGTTCCAAAATGCATATCTATCTATGTCTCCATCTATATTTATCAATCCGCATACAGCAGGAGTTCTTAACTTTTTTTGTGTCATGGCAGACTGGCAAAGCTTACAGACCCCTTCTCAGAACAGTGTTTTCAAATGCATATAACATACCACATAAGGACTACCAAGGAGGTTAGAAGCTAGTGAAAATAAGGACAGAATTTCTTCCTCAAGTTCATGGCGTGTCTCCTCAAATCTACCCCACAGGGTCTATGGACTCTGGGTTAAGAACCTGTGGTCTAGAGATTTCCTATGCAATCCTGTTTTCTGATAGGACAAAGCTAGAAAACTATTGATTTAAAAAAACCCAACTCCTGCTTAATTCAGGACTTCTTAGAAATGAAAGTCATGTTTACCAGATTATTATATTAACTAATGGAGTTTTTAAGAGGGAGAGGGGTAAAGGTTTGTTGTCAGCCTTCTCTTTCAATGTCTCCTCCCCTTCCTGTTACTCCTTCTATTATTATTATTATTTTTGTCTTTAGGCAATTGGGGTTAAGTGACTTGCCCAAGGTCATACAGCTAGTAAGTGCCAAGTGTTTGGTCTGAGGCTGGATTTGAACTCGGGTCCTCCTGACTTCAGGGCTGGTGCTCTATCTACTTTGCCACCTAGCTACCCCTCTGTTACTCCTTCTAACTCACTGCTCCTTCTGGGTACTATAAATGTAAAAGCCCAAATGACAGAAGCCACAAGCAGGATACCATTAGGAAAAGCTAGAATTACCTTAGGGGAGAAATCAAGGCCACCTGGAATATTAAGGGGATTCATGCATCAGACAGGGAAAGGGTTATACTGCATAAACTTTGAAGGTTCCTTCTAATTCTCTGATGGAGTTATGGCGGACAGTGGGGCCAAGAGCTGAGGAGGCCACAGAAAAATGTCTGAGGCTCTTCCAGTAGTTGGGGTTTTTTTTTCCCCCTGGCTTGTTGTTCTTTCACTATTTGTTAGCTCTCTACTCAGTTGACGCAAATACATGCCTGCAGAACTTGTTGGGCACTGATTGAGCAATGCTTTAGGTTCAGTGCTTAGTCTATCTTGGGTAAGAACAATGAGGAATTTTAAAGAAGGTAGCAAATTTCCTTCCACATGTTTGAATTTACACCATTCTGAGCTAAATAGTAGGTAAATATCAGTGCTTTCAACTGTTTATTAGCTTGGATTTATAGACAGGTAGTAATTAGGAAACCAGCCTTATTCACAAAGTGGACTCCTTGGGGATTGTGTGTACTCCACAAAGGAATCTGGACGAATTCTCCAGTGCTTCTCAAGGTAGTCCAATCTGAAGCCTCTTTACTCCTCTCCATTCCCTTGGACGTTATCTTATATTATATTACATTATATCATAGTGACTTATTCTCTTCCATCATCAAGTGGGTGAGAGGCCTCCATCGATTCAGTTTTGTGAAGAAATATGGGCCAACTGTGGAAAATTACCAAGGAGATGAGGTACTGAGGGCTGGAAGTGAGTTTCTTGAAAGAAACATGAAAAGAATGAAAACATCACAACTCTGAAACTCTGAAGTGGCCTTTGGGTGATGCCACAACAGATAAAAGGAATGGAGCATTTGCTAAGTACATCTTTCAGTAGCAGGGCTGTAGTCAAAGTTGACTAAGGAGTTCCATACTGGGGTTTTCCCTCTCTCATCCTAAACTTGTCTTTTTCCTATCACCTTCAATGTGGATACTCAGTTAAAAATGAGGCTGAAATTTCTGGGGAAAAAGTAGATACTGTCAGGCAGGTGAGAAGCAATAAATTGTGGATATCCTACTGATGAATGAAAAGTTCTTACAGGACTGAGTGACATTCCTCACCATTTTGTCATCCCTATCTTTTGTATATGACCAGACTAGAGACCTCCCCATTTTCTTCCTCTGCTGGGCCCCATCTTTTCAGCTCTTAACTCCCAGTCTCAAGCTTTCTTACCTGATGAGTTTTGACTTTGCCCAGAATGTTGTCCTGTGATACTGCTTGAACTGTCTGCTCACTTTCTGCTCCCCCATCAGGGATAAAAATACTGTCATGGGAAAACGCCCGGGTTCCCATAGTATAGTTGAAGGACCTAGAATGCAAACCACGTGCTTCATTTTATTAAGGTGATTAAAAATCGTCTTTGCAATTCAGTTTTCATTCTTCCCTATCTAAGGTTTCCCTCTCTGATCAAGGACTTCCGAAATTTTGTTCTTTGCTGCAGAGCAGCAGTGATATAAGTTGACCAGGATGATGAGGACCATAGGCCCAAGAGAACAGATCTCTCATAGGTTCATGGTGCAGAACCACTAGGCTGGGAAAATTAGAGGCAATTAGAAAGTTAAGTGGTTAAGAGATCTAGCACTTTAGCTTTTGAGGAAGTTTTTATTTGCCCATTGTGATTTGAAGACCCTTCCCTCCAGTGAATGCTATTGCTTTCCTACACATTAGATTGCAAACTCCCTGTGGGTAAGGATTGTTTCATTCTTTGTATTTGTGTCCTTAATGCTTAGCACATTGACTGCCTGGTACATAGTAGGCTCTTAATAAATGTTAATTGGTTGACTGATTGTTGGTTGAATAAACCTTAGCGAATCAAGTCAAGTCAAGGCATATTAAGTAGCTCGATAGGCATTGCAGGAAATTCAGAAGTCAAAGACAACCTTTTCACTGAGGAGTTCATAATCTAGCTAAGGAGAAAATACAGACATAGAAAGCAATTAGAGAATAAAGCAAGATGAGACTATTTGTTTTAGATTATAAATGCTATAGAAATTCTGAAAACTAACAGGCAGATCCTATTCTGGGGCCTGGACTTTCAGGGAAGGCAGTGTCTTGTACCTGATACACATTCTACAAAGATTTGTTGATTGAGGAGATGGAAAGTCAAAGGTTCCAAGTACAGGCCCAGAGAGGGTCTGACAACTAGCTAAGTTTTGAGAAGTTCAATCACCAGAAAGCTGGAAACCAGGTGATCAATTAATCAATAAGTATTTATTAAGCACCTACTATGTTCCAGGCATTGGGGATAGATAAGTGAAACAATCCCTATTCTCAGATTATATTCTAAAAAGGGAGACAACATGTACATATATTTGTATGTGTTTTTGTATGTGTTTATATGTAATATGCACACACATACATATATACATATATACACATATGTAAAGAACAAATATTTAGAGCTAACAAAATAAAATACAATTGCAATTTTTTGACCAAACTAACTCACACAACTTAACTTATATGTGAGTTGCTATCTGCATTGATGGAGGGACTATCCATACTATTGAAATCATGGCTCTCTTAAAGTATTTGAAGATATAACACGAAGAGATTGGATTTGAAGGAAGTGTAATATTTCCACTGTCAGAGAGGCAAGGAGAGGACATTACAGGTATGGGGACCATAACATGCAAAAACAGAGAGGCTTATTGAACATGGGATGTGTTTAAGGTGATAAGGAACCTACCTGTCTAAATCACTACCTAGTCAGTGATTTATGTTATAGAATGGTAGGAGATACGATTGGATAGAAATGATAGGAAAGACAGAACGGATTATGATCTTTGGACACCAGAGTAAGGGGGTCTTGACTTTGTCCAACAGACAAGGAACCCAGGGAAGATTTTTAAGAATGGGAGAATGATGATGGAAGAAATGTTTGGGTAAATGGCAAGATACGAAATGGCTACTATACACCCCGGAAGATGTAATAATAAATGAACCTCTGTCATCATAAAAATAGTTTTAATAGCTCACACATTTATATGTTTTCACAATTTACAAAGAACCTTCCTCACAACAATGCTATGAAGAAAATAATAATAATGACTCACATGTCTACAGCAATGGCAGGCTCACAGAGCACTTCTCTCACAATATCCCCATGCGGTAGGTAAGGCAAGTATTTTATAGATGAGAAGGCTGAGCCTCCAAAGTGACCTGCCCAATGTCATACAGCTAGAAAAGGGTAAACCTAGGATTTGAACTCAGATCTCTAAGTCTAGGCTCTTTCCTTTATATCATGCTGCCCCTCTTGAATAACAGCTCACATTTCAGAGCACTTTTCAGGTGCAATATAGTGTGGGGGATACAGTGCTGGCCTTGAAGACTAAAAGACCTGGGTTCAAGTCCCACCTCTGATACATACCAGTTGTGTGATTCTGGGCAAGTTACTCAATCCCTCAGTCTGCTAGGCAATCCTTCAAAACTCTAGTTATAGATAAAGTGCTGACCTGTATTAGAAGAGGGAGTTCCCTATGTCAGTGAAATTACAGGTCCAATTTCTTATAGCTTACAAAGCACTCTTCTTTTCTTTTGGCAAGGCAATCGAGGTTAAGTGACTTACCCAGGGTCACACAGCTAGTAAGTGTCAAGTGTCTGAGGCCAGATTTGAACTCAGGTCCTCTTGACTCCAAGGCTGGAGCTCTATCCACTGAGTCACCTGGCTGCCCCTACAAAGCACTTTTATTGCAACCTTTTGAGGTACATAGTAGAAGCCTTATTATTCCCATCTTACAGATGAGGAAACAAGTTCATAGATACTAAATGACTTTCCTAGGGTCATATGGCTAGCAGCTATAGAGGCTGGGATTTAAACCTGGTCTTCTGATTCTAGGCTCTTTCTCCACTTGGACATAGGACACATCAAAGAGCTCAGTTTCCTGGCATTCACTCGCAAGCTATTAGCTCACTCCAGGCTACCAGCAGGACAGATGACTTCCATGAGGTGGGTCAGGCACGCTGCCATTGCTTTCAGGCACTGAGCGTGCAGGGATGGCAGGTCAACTCTGCTTGTTTCCTTTCCCCACAAAACTATAAAAAGAGCTTGCTCCAAGGTCTAATGTCCAAATACCGCTTGTGGTAGGGCAACCCTAAAGGGCAATCTACTCTTGTTATTATCCCTGCTTCACAATCCTCCAGTTCTGTGGGTAGGGCTCAACTCCGTAACACTTGTTTTCTACCCAAGGAAGTCTCTTTTAGGAAGATCGATGACCACATTGAAACATCTGAATGTCTAGATGCCCTGTGCAGTGCTTGGCTTCTTGCCCCAGCTATGCGCCTTCAAGCACCATCAAATTGAATATCAAAAACTCAAAAAATCCCAAATAACACCCCAATCAACATAAAAAACAACCCCAATCAAAAACCAAATCCAATCCAGATCAAAAACAAATCTCAATCAAGATCAAATTCAATCTCCCTCTCTCAAAAATCTCCAACAAAACCTGCCAGAAAGTGACACCTGTGGTCAGGGAGCTACTGGACATTACTTTTCCTCTAATCACGCAAGGCTTCACACATAGGAGCCATTTTCTAATAAGCCTCAAGATACTTAGTAGCTCCAGGTTTCACATTCAGACTTAGGGGCCAAATGGAGGAAGATGAATTCAGTTAAAATGTTTATTCTCATCTGGAGAATGGAGAGGCTGTGTGGTATAGTCAGACAATCACTGGATTTGAAATCAGAACTCTTAGAGGGTTGAATCCCGGCTCCACTGCTTAATGTGACCACAGGCAAATCATTTATCATCTCTGAGCTCCAGTATTTACAAATTACAAATTTGTAATTTGTAAAGGGAAAGGAATAGGAATTGGAGCTTGTCATTGCACAGGTGTAGAAACAACCAGAACTTCCTCTACTTTCTCTGTAGGTTAGCACCTTCTCTGAAATTGAAAGCTTTGGAAAATTGCCTGTAGCACCAGGAGTCTGAGTGACTTTCACATAGCTGCTCTCTGTCAGTGGGGCGTCTTCCTGGCTCCAAGTTCAGCTCTCTAGCCAGTACACCATACTGCCTCTCAAAATTCTAAAGCACTATATAAAAATGAGTTGTTGTTGGTATAATCTTCATCATCATCCATCATTTGTCAGACTTCTGGTGATTTCAAACATCCAGGACATCATCATGAATATAGAAAGAAACCAAAAAACCTCTCCGACTAGGACTTTATTTTACAGAGGCAACATAGAACATTCTCCAGCTGAGGTCTACTGAATTATTGACTTACAGTTATATGCAAAATTAAGGCTACTGATTTAAGAAGTCAGGTTATCTGGTTTCACTTGGCAACCTTCAGTCTGCTGGAAATCATAGCAGCCAGCAGATAAGAAGGGAGTAGTGATGGTGGAGGGATTTGGATACAAATGAAGGCGAATGTTTGGAGGTTGTTGCTAGCAGATTTATTGAGAAGTACCCGCTGATAGTAAGGAAGCAAAGGGAATCACCAACTAGGAAAATTCAGCAGTTAGTAGTGAGCTAATAGCTTGCAAGTTAAGTTAATGCCAGGGAACTGGGCTCTTTGACGTGCTCTATGTGTAGAGTCAGATGCCCAGAGACAAAAAGCCCAAAGCACCTCTGCAACCCCTGAAGACCTCACTGTTGTTAACATGAGATGACTTATATAATGCATTTTGTAATCCTTAAGGTGCTCTATAAATGTCAGTTATTATTATTACAGCACAATAGGTAATAATGATTACCTTAGTCACCAAGGAAATGTTAAATCATGTTCAGTATACTCTGTTTAGGAAGGCAAGGAAGTGTGTAGTTTATTTGGGAAGATTTCTATTGCAAATGGTTAAAATTAAAAACAAAACAACTTTCAGCTCTTAAGGGAGTATGCTTTACACATACCTAAAACACTACATTCCCCCACAATGTCAGAAAAAACAAAGACCTGCTCTACGTGTCCCCATTCATGTTCAATTCAATTCAAACAAAGTCCTTGTCACAGCCTCCCTTCTCCATTTCATCCCCACACATACAATTAAGTTCTCAAACTTTCAACTCCCTAAGAAACTCCGGGTCCAGTTTTCTTTATTGAATGATCTGCTTTCTTTGCCCTCTCAGTAAACTTACCACAAATTCATGGTTATGAGATAGGAAAAAGAAATGATGAGTTTTGACTTAATTTCTTTGTGGTATATTATACAATGAAACTACAGGTCCAATACCTGTCCCTGATTACACAAATGGCATTCATTCATTCATGCACATGTTCACATGCTCATATATCAAAACACATTTACACATATGTACAGGAGAGTATATATTTGCTGCTTAATAAATATTTATCATTTTGCTTCTA